ACACACACACACACACACACACACACACACACAGTGTGAACACAACACACACACACACCCTGTGGGCACTCGAGCCTCTCTCTCTCTCTCTCACCTTGCATTTGAGGTTGCTGGTTTGATTCTTCAGCTGATCATGGAGCCAGCGCTGAGCATACTGATGAGACAGGACGTCTGACATCGGAGACGACGGCCTGATGGAGACATCGATTGGTCACTGATCATTCAATATTATCGATCAGATATCATTTGATCATCGTGAAGTGATCAATTCCACCTGTTTCTGACTCCAAACGTGATGTCAGGAACCTGATCGCGGCATCGTGGAAGCCGACCGTGCCGCAGTTCGGAAGCGGAGCTCTGGGCCCTCTGAGCCCGGTACTGACTCAGCTCTTTGGGCGTCACCATGCCAGACTTCACCGCCTCGCGGTTCAGAGACACAAAGTCTGCATGCTGAGCGGCAGATTCTTCCTGCCGCGGCTGAACGTTCCAGCTGGAAAGAGCTGACAGAGCACAGGTGACGGGTAAGAGGACGCCCACGGGCCCAAAACCTTGGATCCGACAGGTGAGACGCTGGGTCGGGGTGAGATCGGCCAGCTTCAATCACACAGCGACACACGAAGTCCCACTTTGACACACCTGTCTCTGATGAGGGACTGCGGTTCAGCTGTGCATGAGTCACAGTTCAAAATAATCCTTCTTTATATCACTAAAGGCCCACTTTGTGCACAATGGACAACCTCTGGAAGCCTAGAGAGGGGCAGAACCCCAGGTGGACTGTATTTAGTGGGCATGCAGCATCAGTGACTCAGCTCCTTATTTTCACCTCCAACCACCAGAAAATACGGAGACAGCTGTGTGTGTGTGTTTGTGTGTCTGTGTGACTGACAGATGAGAGGAGTCTTATGTTGTGTGTGTGTGTTTGACTGACAGCAGTGATTGCAGCCTGAAGGCATGTTAACTTCATGCAAACACACTCTGACAGCTGACTGCCTCACACACACACACACCCCTCCTGTTAGCGTAATCCCAGCACCTCAGCGCTCAGCCTGGGTTTAGCCAATTAGGATGTGAAGCTGCAGTTCCTCCAGTGTCCACTAGGCGGCGCTCATTTGTCCTTCGTGACACAAACACTGACCACCAAGAGAGCCAGCATTACAAACACACAGGGCTGTTATGACGATACATGTCTGATGATGATATGAAAACGTCTGGCGTTTCATGTCACGCTATGGTTTGTTTGGTTGTGTCACAAAATAAACTGTTTACGGCAACATTTTTCATCGCTCTGATTAAAGTTCTTTGACCTATACTTAAAATAACAACACTACGGACGGACGAGCCACTGTTCGTATGTGCTGCCACAATGACGGTAAACCCAGCGTGCGGCTCTGCCGTCCGCTTGTTTATTTTCCACATAAACCTTTCACAATAAAGCTGATGATCCTGTTGAGATTTTTCAAAATAAACTGAAGTGATGACAAAAAGAAGGACCAGTCCAAACACATTGAGGACTTTATTCCTGAGGAGGGGCTACCTCTGTAGCATGGACATGGTTTGGTTATGAAAAGTCTGAATAGGACCAGAAAACTCTTCTACCACCTACGCAAGAGTCATGTGACAGAGTATGGCGTTTATGGATGAGAAGCAAAGCAGATCCGTCAGGTGCTCCAAATACACCTTCGAGTCAAACGAACAGGCTTTTCCCCGCAGCACGCCGTGGAACAAATACTCACAAAGAAAGTTTCACGCATCAGTCAAAACGCTCGACTCCAGGTACACGAGCTGGAAACACGTCACACAGGTCGAGGTGCCCGAGATTCACAGAATTTACAGAAAAGCTAAAATATTTGTGAAAAATATTGTTGTCGGGACAATAAATGTCTTATTTTGGGACATGAGATTTTGGTTATATCGCACAGCCACACACACACACACACACACACACACACGATAACTGTCAGTGTGCTAATACTGTAGTGTGTTTACAGTGGGTGGGGCTTACCTTCGGCCACGCCTCCATCCCTCAGCCAGTTACTGCTGGTTCCAAAAGTGAAGTCCGGACCAGGAACAGCAAAACCTTTGGACCGCGAGCGCCCAAGAGGCGCCTGCACACAGGAAGTTTGATGACATCATCATGTTTTCTATCAGCACTCTTCCTTTAAACTGGACATGGCCATATTTGCATAAAGGGGTGGAGCTAAACGAGAAGCATCGCCCTCTATTGGTGTTAACTACAGCCATCTATCATTTACAGTCTGTTGTTTCTCAGATCAAACTTTAGAAAATGATAACAAATTATTTATTTTTCTGAATGAACGAAAAATGAATGAATTTTGTTTGTTTTTCAGATATTTTAACCAAACGTCTAAGTTCAGAAACATTTTTCACCAAATAAACACAATGACAACAAAAACCTGTTTCATTAACCCGAAAGCATCCGACACATGACCCAGGAGAACGCCATCACACCAGCCCTGATTGGATCGTTGCATTATTGCTACTATTATTATTACTGTACTATTGTTATTAATATTAGTAGTTGCAGTATTGGAGTGACCCAAACAGGAAAAAGTAAAGAATCAGTAAAAACAGCCTGCAGTGGATCAGCCAATCACTGACCTCCCAGCTCCCCCGCCCCCCAGTTACCTTGATTAGCAGCGGGTCGGTCAGCATCGAGCGTCTGACCACACCCACCCTCGGTGATGATGACATGCTTCCTGTCAGGGGATGAAGATCAAAGCAGGCGTGAAGATTTGATTCTGAGGAACGAAAACAAGAAGAGACAGTGAGTGTGTGTCTGTGTGTGTGTGTGTGTGTGTGTGAGTGTGTCTGTGAGTGTGAGTGTGTCTGTGAGTGTGTCTGTGTGTGTCTGTGAGTTTGTGTGTGTCTGTGTGTGTGTGTGTGTCTGTGTGTGTGTCTGTGTGTGTGTGTGTGTGTGTGTGTGTGTGTG